TATATATATATATATACTCTCTCTCTTTTTTTGCTAAAATAGTATTTTAGTCCTTTATAATAATTGTTTGTTTCAATTTAGTCCCACTTTTATTTTTTGTCTCAATTTGGTCCCTAATAAATTAATTGCTTGCAATATTGGACTTCCGTCCAAATTATTTAGACGGAGTTAACTATTGGCCACGTGGAAGCTACGTAGATGCCACGTGGACGTTAAATTTTGTCATGTATCTGGAACCAGAACGGCCGGTTCTGAAATCGGAACGGCCCGTTCCGGTTGCACTCATGGTCTGTAAATTTTGCATCTGGAACAAAACCCGTTCCAGATGCATTATTTAACACCAACGCGTGCAGCAGAACGAGATGTTCTGAGACCGGAACAGGCCGTTCTGACATCCAAAACGGGCCATTCTCCAAAACGGACCGTTCTAGAACGCCAACCAACATAGTACACCAGTGTGGTTCAAAAATCGAAAGCAAATCATTTACACATACACAATTTTTTTTATCTAAAAAATAATATATTTTAAAAAATAAAAATTATATTCTAATATATATATATATATATATATTTATTTATTTAATAAAAATTATATTCTAATATATATATATATATATATATATTTAAATTATCGTATGTATAAAATATAAATTTCGAGGAGTTATTCATTTATCTGATATTTGTCAAACTTTTGTACTTTCTATTTATTGTTTATGTTGATAAAAAAAATTAAAATTGTAAAAAGGCTTAAATATGTTTTTAGTCTCTCAAATTTAAGATAAATTTATTTTTGGTCCCTCAAATTTATAAATGTTGTTTTTAGTCCCTGTAATTTTCAAAAATCTTGTTTTAGTCCCTTAAGTCATCAATAACATATTTGAAAGTGACTAATTAAGACAATTATGCAATATCAACTAGATTTAATATGATATTTTCACTAATAGGGACACCAATAGATAGATTTTATGCAATAATGTTTGATAAATTTCTTAACAAAATTTGAATATAAGGACTAAATTAAGATTTTTTGAAATTACATGACTAAAAACAACAATTTTAAATTTGAGGGATCAAAAATAGATTAATCTTAAATTTAAGGGACTAAAAACATATTTAAGCCTTGTAAAAATTTATATAACATATTAAAAATATCTTTATATGATAAATAAATTAAACTTAATTTTTATAAGATTTAACATATTTATTTATATGTTTTTATTAGTGTTAAATTATTATTAAGTAAGTTTTTAAAATTTTTATGTAACTAAACATTTTAAAAAATGTCTATGACAGATAAATATATAATATTTATAACATGTATTTTTAACAAAAATTAGGTTTAAATCTGTTAAATTATAATATAACATAATCTGACCTAGTTTATTTTCATCCTTAATCATAATTGTAGATATAAAAACTTGTAAAAAATAACTATAATATATATTTATACTTAAAAAAATTATATATAAAATTTTTAATATTACAAATATATGAATAAGTATTGTCATCACGATTTAAAATTCATAGATATAATCATTAATTGTATGTGTGACTTTCTGAAACTAGAACTGCCCGTTCTGAAATTGGAACGGCCCATTCTGGTTTCACTCCTAGTGTGTTAATTTTGCACCCGAAATGGCCCGTTCCGGATGCAAAATTAACGCACGAAGAGTGATACCAGAACGGGTCGTTCTAGTTTCAGAAC